AAAACATTTTGTGAAGTGGAAGGCTTAACCCCAAGTTGAACACGTGGTTTTATGCAAGTTAGGGCATTCCGTTTCTTTATATCTGACAAACTTTTCAGATGCCCTTGGAAATATTAAAATTTGTGTTCATTGTTAAACGCCACAAATACTATCGTGAACAAGTCTTCTACCCAGCCAGGGTTACCGAAATACCTTCTGCTATGCGGTAATTTAAGTCTACAAAACTTCCCCACACCTTTCAGTCAGCACATTCAAGTACCGTCGTAATCTTATTCCTGCTGCTAAAATGTTTATTGTTGTCCCTTTGGATACAAGTCCATTGTTGTACTGAAGAAAGAAATGTGTTCTTCTCTCCTGTAGATGCCTCCCGAACGTGCTCTCAGAAATGCCTGGCTGCATGACGACTTCAAGGGCTGGTTGAAGAAGGTGGACGGCAAACATCAAAAAGCATTTTGTAGTGCGTGTAGTTAGGAAATCAGTGTAGAGATCTTTGCCGTTAAGAGACAATGCATTCCGTGTTCATTGCACTAATATAGTTCTATTTCATGCTTCTCATTCATCCCCAATGAGTACAAATACTACAACAGTTAGTAATGATGGGATGACATGGGCAGAAATCAAATTCGTTTCATACTTTGCAGAACAGAGCCACCACAAAACAGCTTTGATAATCTTACAGATTCGGTGAAATATGCTGTCGGATTCCTAAATTATCCAAAGAAAAGCACTAAAAATAACAAAGACAATATATATCACAAAATTTACCTTTGATTATTGATGAGATAACTGATATAGAAGTACATCAAAAGTGTGTGCTATAGTATGTAAATATTTGAACAAGGGAACAAAAAGTATGAGAACCGAGCTCCTAGATCCAACAGAAATTGGTGACAATAAAGGTGATAGTTGTGGATCGTCAGGGGAGAACCTATTCCGGTTTCTCATGAAGTATCTGACAAAAAATAATAATATATTTAATGTATAATAATATAAAGGGATGCAACAAAGTGCTAAAGATTACTGTCATCAAGTGAGAATGCCACTTTACTAATTTATTTGCATCGAAAGTAGCCAAAACTCTGCCTCGAAATACAGTCATAGTGCATATTTGTTATAGTGCAAAGCTAAAAAGAGTGCACTTGCCCAGTTTCAAACGTTTTACGATGTCAAACCACACAAATCATTGCAGATTGCTCAGACGAGATATCTGTAAAAAAAAAAAAATACTCGAACAATGGGCGCCTCTCACGTTGTACTTCCAGGGAAAACGTAACAAAGAAAGACTTGGAGCCCCTAAATTGACTCATGATGCGTTAACACGTTTCTTCAGTATCCCTATGCTTCAATTTCCTGGACTTTATCTTGCTTAGACACTCTTATTTTACTCGACACAGACGTTATACCTAATCTCAAAATATCGACAGCCTTTCAAAGACCTCTTTAAACAGACGAATGATAATCCAATCTTTAGAGTTATGCCAATTCTTGCTCTTGATGTTCTTGCTCTGCATTGGATACTGATGCAAAGAGGCTCTTTTCCAAAGCAGGATGAATTAAAACTAAACTGAGGAACAAGGTGACTCATCCACACAGGTAGTACTACTGCACCCATCTGAGCACGAGTCGGGTGGATGCGTCTCGTTTCAGCCTGTTCAGGAGTAAAATTATTAACTATTATTGTGTATTATATTAATGTATAATATACAAATATCAGCCTTGCTTGTTGTTATTAATTGTTCAATTAATCTATGGTACAAACAGTTTTTTATGCATGAAATAAATTTACCAATTTTCCTATCTTAAATATGTTTTAATTATACAAATTTCCCTTGCAAATATTTGTGCAAGGTCATATTCATCGCAACAAAATATATACACGCCTGCTACTTCACGCTTTACCCTACCTGTCGCTTTCCCAGCTCCAGAGGTAAGAGGGAAATTAGGAAAATGAGTTATCCGCCTCCGTGTTTCGATCCCCGTTTTCTGTGATTGCGTGCGCTAGTGTCTGTGTGGTACCATTGGTAACCTGGGCCCAGTGACAGTGCGAGTCCTGACTCTCTATTTATCTGTTTGTCTATACAAACACACACACACACACACACACACACACACACACACACACACACACACACACACACACACACACACACACACATATATATTAACTGACGCTCGGGTGGTTCCGACTCGCCTGTTGCTGGGTATGGCAGGGGTTCTAAAACTTTTTTGGCTGTGACCCCTATAAATGACTTCTTCAGATTCGCACCCATTCCCCCAGCATACACACTTAAGAAAGCATGCATGCATAGACGTCTTTATAAAGCATTGTCGAGCATCAGGCAATCGACCGCCGCTGACAAGTACTCGACGCGTTGGGGAGAGTAGGGGAGGAAGGAGGACAGGGAGGAGGGGTGCAGGATCTCGCGCCTCCCCAAATTATTTCGCGACCCTCTAGGAGTCGGATCCCCCACTCGGAGAACCTTTGGGCTAGAGGACCGAA